AGGGGGTCTATACCAAGCTAAAACAATTATAGGTGAAGACATAGGTTGCTTCACTTCATCAGCAACAAGTTCGATATCATTTACCAGAAGATCTGATCTTAGTTTGTGGCTAAGTTTATTTTCATTAACGTATATTGCAACCCCTCCGCCATTCTTATTACGGTCTTTCCTATAAATACAGTAATCTTGTATACCTATATGCACGTCCTTTATCTCACTGTTTAATCTTGTTTCATTCAATGCAATAAGATCAAATTTAAAATCATTAACCATCATTTGAAGATTGTCAATATTAGATAACAGAGTTCTAATGTTCAATTGAGCTATTCTTATTCCATGCTTCTTTTTTATTCTCAGACAATTATCTTTAATATTATTAGGTAACAATTTGGTTCCTTCCGTTCCCGGACTACATTTACAAGTATCTAAATCAGAGTCATATACATTGCCAATATTAATGTCTATTTCGTTTTTGTCAGCAAAATTGGGTTCACTGGCATCAATTTCATCGAAGTCAACTCCATCGTCAAAGTCCAATTCTATTTCTTCACTGAAGTTTGCCTCGTTGTCATCGAAGCTAGTTTCAATATTACCATCAAAATCGCTGATATCATCGTCATTAGTGACCTCTTCATTGTTGTCATCATTTTTAGGAGAATGATTCTTTAGTGCATCATTATCGGCACAGTCTTCCTTGCCTGCTTTTTAGCAGGTATATGTGTTCTTGCAGAATTTACGTTTGTGTCCAGTTTCATTGCAGAGGTAGCACCTAATCTTTTCTCCAAAACGGCAGTGTAGGTGCTTGTGATTTGTTTCTCCACAGTAAAAACATCCTGTGTAGCGAGGGGGAGAAACAGCATGTGCATAGCTCATTGTAGGAGGTTGCAGTTGTGGTCCTTCAGACACATATGACGCAGTTTGCTGATGCGGATTCTGCATTGCCATGGAGAAAGGATGCGGGTCAGATGGGAAGGGATGGCGAGTGGCGTAGGTGGAGGATAAAGTCCTCCGATCATTATCGATCATTATCTCGTTCTGAGTTGATGTGGCGGATAAGATTTTGGGCGAATAAATTAACCCCTTCAGGACTGAGATGTATGCCATCATTGCATTGATGTTGAATTGGCTCGATAGAGTCGTTGTTGATGAAGTCCCATCCGTGGGATAGGGCCATTGACTTTAGTCGACTGTTGGTGTCATTCAATTTGTTGAGGAGGTCACTTTGATACGCTCTTATTTTGATGATAGAGCTAATCGTAATCGCATTCACGGAAGAGCATTCACCTAGGATTTGAAGGGCCAGTGACTCCACTTTTTTCTCTATTGTTGTTGAGTCATTCATCGCCATATTGTTTGATCCGACGTGGATGATGACCGTTTGGGGCAGGTTCTTATCAACCATATTCTTTGTTGGTTCAAAGAGGTCATCTATTTTAGCTCCGGGAAGCGTTTTACATTTAACTCTCTTTTGTGAAGACATCGTGGACGGTCTGAGAGGCTTTAGAATAGAATCTCCTACAATAAGGACATCACATTGTAGCTTCATTCTTTCACTCACAACTTTTTGTTGTTGCATGAAGTCATCTTTACGCTTATGCCTGTAATCTGCTAATTGTTCTGCAGTACCATGAGGCGTTGGTTGTTCGGGAAGAGGGGGGAATGCTGAATGTGACTGTTCACAATCCGATTCTGGTGGGGGGTTCTGTGTAGATGCCTTGGGAGCTGGGTCGGGGCAACTGTCAGATGTTTTGTCTAGAAGTGACTCAATGACATGTTGAACCTTTTTCATGTCCATGCATAGTTGATCTACTCGCAGGTTTAGACATTTACAACGCATACAATTGCATACGACCACGAAGTAAAAAGTTAAAATCTGACATAAAACTTACCAGATAATAACCTTGCGGAGATCAAATAAGGAAGAACAAAATCATATCTGGCATATTGCAGCATTATAATGTAGTCCAAATACAGTATCCACAAGTGAAAAATAAGGTGAAATAGTCCATAAAATTAGTTAATATCTTTGTATATGTGGCTGCGGATGTTAGCGTGTTAGCGTGTCATTTACCGTTTCGCGATAGTCCCCCTGTCCACACACAACATTTTCCGTGTTTCCGTTATTCATTGATATACAAAGCATTTGTAAAATAGAAAATATTGACGGTTTAGCTCTGAGTATTGACTTTGAAAAAGCTTTTGATATGATTGACTGGAATTTTATGTACGACGCTCTTTAAGTATTTGGATTTGATCAGTATTTTATTAATTGGGTGAAATTGCTGTATACTGATAAACAAGGACGAGTTATTAATAATGGGTTCGCGTCAGATTCTTTTGAGATAAAGCGTGTAGTGAGACAGGAATGTCCGTTGTCTCCATATCTTTTTATTATTGCAGTTGAAGTACTTGGCTGTTTCGTGAGACAAAATAAAGATATTCGTGGGTTAAAAGTATTAAATGAAGAGGTAAAGATTAGTCAATATGCAGAGGACACGGTTATTTTTCTTGAACCTGATGAATCGAATATTCGTAGATGCGTTAAAGTCTTGAATAATCGATTTCAAAGAAGCTTCTGGTTTGAAAATTAATTTTGAAAAATGTAATATGATTAGACTGGGAAATTGTAAAGTTACTATGCGTATGTGTCAAGACATTCCATTTATTTGGCCTTCAGATTATTTTACATATTTAGGTATAAACATTCCTTTGAATGATAATTTGAGTTTTCATGATCTTAATTTCAAATCAAAATTTAAAGAAATTAAGACAACGTTGAATATATGGAATCTTAGGTCTTAGGAATCTTATAGAAAAGTGACCATTATTAAATCTCTAGTTATACCAAAATTGATTTATTTACTTTGTATTCTTCCTGATCCCCCGTTATCATTCTTTTCAGAACTTCAGAGAGTACTCTTTAAATTTAAATAAGAAGGACAAAATTAGACGCTCTTCGCTTTACAATGAATATAATAAAGGAGGCCTTAAAATGCCTCATTTATTATCTTTTAACCGTGCAATAAAAGTTATTTGGATAAAGATATACTTTGATGAGGGAAACAAAAGTAAATGGAAAATGTTTTTTGTACACTCTCTGAGACGTATGGGAGGTGATATTTTTTTAAGCGGCAATCTCCGCTCTGACCATTTTATAATGTTCAATAAATAAGCAGATCCTTTTTGGAATTATATATTGATTGCATGGAGTCACTACAAGTACTACGACCCAGTTAAATTCAAAGAAATTATTTCCCAACCCCTTTGCCTGAATTCTCATATACTGGTAGGCGGAAAACCTCTCAATATTAATATACGTTTTAATTCTGATATGATATATGTTAAGGATATTTTGCGCATTGATGGTTCATTTATGTCTTTTGATCAAATCCAACGCCTAATGAAATTTCTGTCTGGTTCATTTATGTTATATTATTTAGTTCTTTCCGCATTACCTAGTAGTTGGAAACGTATTCTAAAACAGGGTAATTTTGAAATAGAAAATGATTCTCTAAATTGTGTTGATACTTTATTGTACGAATTCTGTAAGCTTAAAAAGATATCAAAACTTACGTACAATATTTTCTTACACAAATTTTCAGCAAATATCTCAGAAACAAATCAACAGGATAAATGGCAAAAGGATCTACAAAATAATTTAAACGATTCACTAATTTGGAAATCCCCTTTTACATTACTTTATAGGTCATCCATAGATAATAAAATAAGAAATTTCCAATTTAAACTTATTCATAGAAAAATTGCAACACAAAGTTTTCTTTATAAGATAGGTATAAGTACTTCTTTAATGTGTACTTTCTGTAAACATCATGAACAGACGTTGTCTCATTTATTTGTAAATTGTGAAAAAGTACGATCTTTCTGGAATGTTCTATGTGCATGGTTAAAAGGAAAGAACATACGAAATGTTTTGTTCACAGATGAAGAATTTTTGTTTGGTACTCTTATAATCAATAATTTTTATTTCGTCAATACAGTTATTATTTTTGCAAAAATATTTCATATTCACTTGTAAAATGCAAAACGTTATTTCACTATTTCCTTCTTTTCAACGAGCCCTCAAACATTTAGAAAATATGGAACGTATAATTGCTTTCAAGAAAATTCGTCTCGATCTTCAAAATAAGAAATGGCAGATATTTTGTTAACTTTCTTGTATTGCTGATGAGTTAACTATTACACTATATTTTCATAATACATATTCTATGTCTTTACGAACATGTTATTATTACTATTATTATTATCATATACTATTATTATGAATGAGATTTGTTTTCAATAAATATTTTGAAGAAAAAAAATTAAAAATAATATATTCTGTGTATGTTTATACATTTTAATATTTGTTATTATTCTCTTTTGATTGTTTAATTGATATGATGAAAAACAACACATTTTAACAAAAATGTAAGGGCTCATTCAACATCGACCTGGCTAACTGCTTACCTGGCCCATGTGGCTTCATAGTCATAGAGGTCATAGAGGTCATAGTCGTCTGCCCGGATGCCTCACTGATGCATGTCGGGATATCGCCAGCACTCCAGGTACCATCTGATTGGCAGGTTAAGTTGACCACGTGACTCAGTTCATAGCCGGCCTCGCACACGAATCTAGCCACGCCCCCTGCCATGTAGGTCGTCGCGATGGCACTTCCGTTAGCAGGGGCGGGAAGAGTTGGGCAACTCACTTAAGATATGATGAGAACAAAATATGAACCATTGAAAGGATAAAAACAAACTTTTAGATGGATGTTCGACTGCACGCAGTAGAAAATGATGCCTCCGCTATAAAGCGATTTTACAAACAAAAACAAAGTTTGATTGTAATGCATTAACAGGTTTTCAGAATATCGTGATTACACATATAATCATCGACCTGGCTAACTGCTTACCTGGCCCATGTGGCTTCATAGTCATAGAGGTCATAGTCGTCTGCCCGGATGCCTCACTGATGCATGTCGGGATATCGCCAGCACTCCAGGCACCATCTGATTGGCAGGTTAAGTTGACCACGTGACTCAGTTCATAGCCGGCCTCGCACACGAATCTAGCCACGCCCCCTGCCATGTAGGTCGTCGCGATGGCACTTCCGTTAGCAGGGGCGGGAAGAGTTGGGCAACTCACTTAAGATATGATGAGAACAAAATATGAACCATTGAAAGGATAAAAACAAACTTTTAGATGGATGTTCGACTGCACGCAGTAGAAAATGATGCCTCCGCTATAGAGCGATTATACAAACAAAAACAAAGTTTGATTGTAATACATTAACAGGTTTTCAGAATATCGTGATTACACATATAATCATAGAACACAGCAAACAATACAGATAAGGCGAGTTGCACATGAGGAATCAAACCCGTATCAATTGGTTTACCCATCGAGTTTGTATTGAATACTAGTAGATTATTAAAGCCCATTGCACACGATTTTTTTTTGCTGACTGAAGACAACGTTATTGACTTGCGCGGTCTTTGACATGCCTTGTTAGACAGAAATCATAACCAAAATGAATGCGTAATGAATAGTTCAAACAATGCCTTGAATTACTGGTAAATGGCTATTTACTTTGTTGACTAGACTTGGTAATAACGAAAACAGGTAATAACGAAAACGAAATTATGCCTCATGCGCAACACGGACATAGATTTGCACGTCGACAGCATTGACTGCAACGTGTGATGTCATTTTAAGGCACTGCGCTACGTCACGTCGTCTCAGTTGGCGATCGAGAATGCGTCAACCTTGATTTTCCTTAATCTACTATGGTACTAGTATATGCCGCGTGCGCATAAAATATAAAGTTCCCCAAGTAGACAAAGGAACATCCCTTCCCTGCTATTATGTAAACATGTGTAGAACAGGTGTCACATGCATATTCACCTGTTCTACACATTTTTACATAATAGCAATGAAGGGATGTCCTACCACAGCAATTGTTGAGGGTAGAATGAGGAACTGTATATTTTGTCTTTTTTCTTTGTCCGTCATATTCATAGTGTTACTTCCTGCATGCATGTATATCGTCGAGTGCAATTTGAAAGATTTCTAATTGTAGTCAACATGGGCAGTTCAGTACGTTGACACGCATGATCAGTCAGCGTTCGTCGTGTTCTCGACCACTCAATCTAAAAGTTCCTAATGTATTGCATGGATGAATATGACTGGCGCAATGGAATGAGTTTTTGTGAGCAGCAGGTATGAAAAACTTACCGAACGATGCTATGTTGTCGACTGTCTGCTGATATTGCACAAGTGCCTTCACGGAATTCTGGGCAAAACTCTGCGACCCCGTTGTCTGGTAGTCGAAGATACAGAACTGGTTCGTACCGCACACCTCTAATACAAGGCTTTGGTCTACAGAAGGGTTGGCGACAGGCTCAAAGACAGGAGTGTAAGTGCGGTCGGTATGAGATTCGTGGTCATTGCTCGGTTCGTAATAGAACAACGATTCTGCTGCATCGATTTCCCCTGTATTGAAGCAAAGGAGAGTGACCAATAACCCATACATGTATTCCTTTGTAACGCACATGCGTGTTTAAGATCAGAAGCAACGACGCTATGGAGAATATCTCAATAATCCTCTAATAGTTTGGGAGGGGATGGTCTCTTCTATACCCGAGGTTTTTAAAGGAGAAGGCTGAGTTCTTTAAGGTAATGAATAATCTATGAAGTTTTTTTTTAAAAGTTTTTTATGGTAGTTTGTAAGAATATAGTGCACATACTAAAACATGATTTCATGTCAAATGCTCTCATTCGAAATATGACAAGAACTTTCGAGCAATCATTCATGTGATATGTGTGTGTAGTCCTCAAATTCCATTTGTGTGTGCAGTCCATGTGATGTCAGCAAGATTGAGTCGATTTTTTGTAATTTTGATTATTAAAAAACCCTCATAGTAGACGCCAATACCTCTATCAATAGTACTTAATAAACTGTTCCAAATAAAAGACTTTATTCAAAATGTAACCGCACGTCCAGAACTCAACGATATCTTTAAAGGGATAGTTGAGTTCTGTTGCAGAGGGCGCTACACAAAAAAATTGTTTGTAAGATAATGAAAAACTGAGTGTCAAATTTAAAAAAAACATACAATTAATGCCTGGATTACATTTGCCCCGGGCGCCGTACGATAAATTAGTCTACGATTTTTCGTAGACATCGTAGGAGGCTAGGGGCAACGATGTTTGTGTTTAAATTATCTACGAGCATCGTGCCATTTATTGTATTGGCCCTCGCGGGCAGGCCAGGGCAAAGCCGTACAGAGGCTGCTCGGAGATTGTACGGAAATCGTGCAATTTGAATGCAGTAGCCGTGCAGTCTCCGCAGCCTCCGCACGGAAATCGTACGGAGCCCGTGCAGCTTCCGTGCAAAGATGACTGCTCAATATCACGGATACTGTACGGGCAGCGAGCAGCAACCTTGCGATAGCTGTGCAATGGCCGTGCGAATACCCCACGAGTCTACAATCTCTGTACGATTTTTTTTTGCCCCCATGTTCACCGAAAAATCGTACGTTTGCTGCACAATCAGTGCGAGGCCTCCGGGCGATGCCTGTGCGGGGATTGTGCAATGCCACCTACGACATTTATACGGGCTACGGGCTTACGATTTTTCAAATTTGTTTAACTTCTCGCGAAACAAAATCGTAAAGGCTGCGGAGTCCGTGAATCCGTACGAAAATCTCACGGCCGCCTCCTGCCTCCGCACAGAGGCCGCATGGAAAAGGGGATACGGGCAGGATACGGGCTCCGTAGACTAATCGCAGACCAAATGTAATCCAGGCATTAGATGACAAAATCATCTTTGTTTGATCAAAATCGGTTCAGAGACGGCTGAAATAAGCCCAACCAGCCGGCCCGTCATGTATTGTTATTATTAATTAACGGTCACCGTATTTGTTGAAAGTGGAGCTGAATTGGTATGATTGTATTGGCTAAATTTCACACATTTTTGGGTTTAAAATTACCTTCATAGCAATTTTAGGTCCTCAAAGGGCACTATAAATGTCATAGACAAGAATAAGAGCAATAACCATGCACTTTGAAGGCAATTGCGGTCCGAAAACAGAACTCAACTATCCCTTTAAAACCTCACATTTGCTCGCTCTCTATTACAATTCTACCTAGGACGGGAAAAATTAAGTTAAGGTAATGAAGATTATAGACGAATGACTTTCAGACGTCCCAGCTAAACACACGAAGAGTCTTTTTTGTTTAGGTGAATGATAATTAGTGTCAATAATACATGTTCTTCGAAATCAAGCAAATGAAAGATAACTATGAACAATATTAACATACAGTGAGAGAAAAGTTTTAGGGAGGAAAAAATATGATCTTACACAGTAATCCAAATTGGTAGTGCAACTGCTCAGTAGTCAAATCGGGTGAGAGGAAAGATCCTTGAGGAGTTAGGAAATCGTCGCTGGCATTACCATTCCACGTTCCCATCAGGCCTTGCGTTTGACCTCGGAAAGAGTCTGGAGCTACAAGAAGAATGCTCATGGCCCCCTCTGCTGCTTTTAGATTCAGACCTAGCCCTCCGTCGAAAGCTACAATGATTCCACCTGAGGTAATGTTGCGACCGGTTACCGAGACCCCTAGGAAATCAAGTAGATGCAAAAAGATGGGTACTATAAAGAACTCAACAATGCATGGTATCGAATAGCTTATCGTACAACGATTGGTATTAATAGCAAAATACGAGAGGGGTGGGGAAGATTAAAGGATCTGGAACAATATAGTTCTGCTCATTGTGAGATAGCACAGTAGTTTGTGAAAAAACAGTATTCCTAAAGCTTAGACATTCTTGGTTCGAAGGTTCATCATATTTTCCAGTGGTGTGATATTCCTCAATACCAATTTTCTCGAAAAATTGAAGTCTTGCAACTGTTAAAGAAAATTAACTGCTTTCCCAGCTTCCTCTTGATAGGAAGAAGAGGGAACAAATTTGTAGGATACATAACTGAATAAATATAAATCTAACCGCATGACGTAAAAAACCAAAAGGTTAATTTGTTATACCTGAATATGACCATCGAGAAGCCTGGTCGAATTCAATCCGTGTGAAGTGTTGTCCATCTCCGGCTAGTCGGACATAGGCATCAAGAACCCTGCGTTCATTGGTTTGAATATGAATTATATCACTATCACCAAATCGTGCTGCCATGGCAACAAACACCGTTGCATCAGACGTTCCTGCAATGGAAATTACAGTAGGAAATACATTTTGATATGAAAATTTGTTCAACTAATAGGTGAAATATCATATTTTCCTTTAGAATGATGTGAAAGTGTACATACATTACAGAAAGTTGACATGTGACTTCTTTATTCATTATGAACAAGATGAATGATCTGGCGTTAGTTTCATCATTGAGCATAGAATGGTTTCCCCTCTAATATAAAACAGATGATTAACAATATAACCGGTTGGGTTCCTAATCTTGTCCTATATTTAGAACCCTAAAAAGTTGTTTAGAGGAACTTGTGTACAGGGTTCATTTAAGAATCTCTAAATGTTAAAGCATTTAAATCCCAAGGTTTTTACATGCACCTTTCACGTAGGTTTGTTGAAAAAAAACTTTCATGAAGCTCGGGTCATTTTCAAGTACTCTTTTCTTGTTACAAAATTGCCTGTCAATAAATCCGTAAAAGTCTATCAGGAATTAAAATTATATCTGAGTAAACTCGCAAACGAATTTAAAATCGGATTGACATAGACGTGAAAAGTACATTTTAACCCTTTGCTTACGGGAACCGGTTGGTCTCTGTGTTAAAGCCTATAGGACCTATAACATTCAGTAGTCAATGGGTTAACTGGAGACTGAGCTAAAACAATGAATGGAAAATAAATTTTACCAACGAGAGGAGCCGCTCTTGCTTGTAAGATGAAGGTGTCATTCAGCGCGTTCAGCAGAGTAAATTCACCATGACCATTGAAAGTGTACGTGGTCGAGTCAAGAGTTGAAATATGTGGATCACCACTGCCCAATGCTGTGTTGTGACAACGGGAGGGAGGGATAGATGGATGCGTGAGAGAGAGAGAGGGGGTAAAAAAGGAGAAAGTTTAGTACATGATATTGAAGGGGGAAATGGTTTTGGAAGGGTATCAGGGATGATCTTCTAATATATTTTCAGACTCGTAACACAAACCAAAAACATCAATCAATATATCCAGTCTTAAGGATACACATTGGCTACCTATCGAGTCTCGTATCCAATTTAAAGTACTTTTATCAATAATTCCATCAGTTTGCTCCATTCTATCTGTTATTGAATTATTAATACAATATAAACCAGAAATAACGTTGCTTTTCCAGTAAAAAGTCTTTATTTCACAGAGTCCACAAACTATATCAAAATCTTACAGGGAAAGGTCATTTTCAAATGCAGCCACTGTTTTATTGAATAACTTGCCGGAATACTTTAGAGATAAAGAAACGCACGAACTTTTCAGAAGTAATTTGAAAACATGTTTATTTTATTTAGCACTTTGTAAAATCTCACACTAATTATGAAACCAGTGCACCCCTTTTGTATTCTGTTTTGTAAAGCGCACATAAACATGCATTTATATTTATTTCTTACAAAAAGGCTTAATCATCTTTCCTTTGTCGGTATGAAAATATTGTTATTTGAAAATTGTTTGAAGTAGAATAACATCAGCCTTTTTTGCAGGTTTTTTTTTTTTACCGCGTCTGATGTGAACAAGGTTTTATGGTTACACACATACATTTCCGAATATGCTTCCATGACTTCGTCTAACTGTCGAATGATAGAAAAAATCTCATCATGGTTATGGGGAGATCAATAAAATTGATGCAAAAAAGAATACCTGGAGGAGGCGGTAAGTAGTTGTTGCAAGTTTGAGAAGGCCGATGACGACCAAAATTTGTGCACTCATCTGGTCCACCGTAAGTACAGCAGTAGGTCCAGGGCAAGATGTCGACGAGGTAGTGCGACATATATGGTACCTGAAGAGTTAATGGAGTCACGTGATAATATTTATAACCTCCACACAATAACGAATTTTGATTCAAGCTACGCGACCATTGTTCTCTAATTTCCTTTCGCATTGTATTATTTTCCACGGTAGTTGCCGAACTTGTTACATAGGTAATATTTTTTTACATGTATATATTATTTTTACATATGTATGATATATGTTAAGTATGTAATGTTTATGGAGTTGTTAGATGCTATTTAAGTACAGATGTTCATCGTAAGCTCTGGGAAGAAACAATGCATTATCGGCTGGGCTGCTTGCAGCCGGATGTACTCAATGTCACTTTCCATTAATTTCCCCGTTCTAAACTTTTGTCTGATATATTCGCTTTTTCTGTCTTTCCCTTTTCTCTCTCTTCTTCTTTTTTTCTTTCTCTCTCCCTCTGTATTTTTTCTTCCCACTTCACTGACCTGTTAATGTACTGTGCTTTCCTTTTCTGTGTTCACTTGCTTTCTTTATGACGTACTGTTACGTCTTACATTTTTTCCTACGCGCCTTTTTCCTTATTTCTGCCTTATTATCTCTATAATTATGACGTAATTACTCGTGATCTCGCTCTCTCTCTCTCTTTCTTTGCACTCCGGCACATTTCATGGAGATAGGATGCACATGTTTTGACGAATAACGTTTCTTAAAGTCAAATAAAATCATTACTTGAGGGCGGAAATTTCTAAAACAATTTCTTCTTGCACGGATGATCAATATTTGCTATATTTTTGCCTATTATCTCAAACTCCGAGCAGAACTAATACTGGCTATGTGTGTGTGTGTGTGTGTGTATGTTTTTGTGTGTGTATGCGTCGGTGGGCGTGTGTGGTCAAATTGTTCTCTTCCTTCTAATTGTTTGACAAAGAGTCACACCAAATACCTTCTTAGGTTCTCCATATGGGGTAACGCCCCCATGGTGGTAACGATGACTGTAGCCTCCTCCCAGACTATCAAGGACATTGATGATCATTCCTTCATCACCATAGCAACACTCCTGCCCCCCTCCTAGTGTGCTGAAAAAATGCAGAAGTTGACATTTACTTTCCCCCCATGCAGGATATTCATCTTAAAATATATACATATCTTGTTCATTTCTAACACTTTGAAAAGGACAGGTCATACTGTACTGTATAAAAACGAAAATTGTACAAAACTATTTCTGTCGTATGTAACAAGTGAAATCAGTTTAATATCGAATATAGTTGAGGCATCCTTGAGTACTTAAAACTCGAGAAAGGTATTTTAACTCTCCAGCCGGATGTTAAATGGCTCCTCGCTAGTATGCGGACGTCATATGTGATTTGGATTAGCATGTTGGCGTCCTCAAAAAAGACGTTTAGCTGGAATGCAGCCAAGTGGAGTGGAGAGTGTGCACATTCAAATGTACATGTGTGTGTGTAGAATTGTAATTGATTTAAGGTTAATAATACTTTAAGCGCTTCGGTCGGCTAAGTTGTTTCTGGTGAAGTGCTTTTTAAGAGTTGTTAGTGGATTCGTAATGGTTATTATTAATCATGCCACTAGAGTATGGAGAAGCTAGCTCTTTCACATTAATAATTAACATTAAATACCTCGGTGTGTCTGCTCGTACGCAGTGTATCGCCCCAGGTTTATGGATACAGTTGCTAGGCGACGAGATGCCAATATCGCACAGCGGATGCGGACTAAACCTCCCTATGTCGATTTGGGCCTGGTCAAGTGTACATGGGCACGGGTGCGTGACAGACAGAAAGGAAATATCAGACAGAACTTCTTTTCTAATCCAATCATTGCACCAATTTGTGACGTCATCGCCGTTGTGCCACTGTAGAACATGGACCTTGCTCCAGATGGCAGCCCGGTTAGAACTAGAAGAACCCGAGAAAATAACGATTAGGGAACCCAGTAAATACATATTTCTATCCCACTTACCAAGAATCCTGCAACACGATTGGTCTACTCAAGGTCACACAGAAACTGGTGGATTGCTTTATTCTTGGTGTGATATTATTATTTTCTTTCTTGGCGTGATCCCGGTGGGGTCACTCCCCTGCAAAGAGTGACACGTATGACCGTTACCACCAATGCATATAACCCCCTTTTGCGGTCAATTTCAAAGACATTTTGTGAAATTTAACCCCCTTTTTTACGTCAAAACAAGGACAAAATCGTACTTTGGAATACCCCTATTTATAAGATAGTAAGGACACTTTCGCAAATTTACCCCTATTTTACCATATTTCAAGGACAAGACTCGGCTCCGAGAATTTTTCTTCCCGGTTTTCTCTTTTCCCTTCCCGGTTTTCTCTTTTCCCTTTTCCTGACCCCTATTTATCAATTTCGGGGACACCTGTGCACCCCTATTTTCTTTATTTCGAGGAATATTTTGTCCGCGGACATTGCTTGAAATTGACCCCTTTTTCCGCGATTTTGGTAACGGTCATGCGGTCCGGAAGTCACATTGAGTGACCCCACCGGGGGCGTGATAGTATAAATATAATGACTGCTATGAGAGGAATGACTACTATGAGAGGAATAGTTGTTTTATAGGCTCAAGGGGACGTTGCATCCTGCTACCACCCCAAGGCGTAATAGCAAGATGCAACGTCCCCAAGAACCTATAAGAAACTATTTCTCGAATATCAAAGCAGTCATAATATCTATATGGGAAGCAAAGCAAATTATGAACCCCCTTTTCTCGTGCCGGTGGAAACTATCATCGCCTAAGTGATCTCATGTATGTTAGGTATCATATCCCTTATCGTTAAATTGTTGCATTAGGAGTTTACACAACACAAACAAGAATAGTGTTACTAAGAAAAACGTTTTCCGCCCAATAGTTCATTTTGTATTGCTGACGTCACGAATAGTTCAGCTTTTCCATAGGGAAAAAGTGAACTATTCGTTTTCCCGCCCCCCTCCCCATCTGGCAAATGTTGTAATTTACGCTGTGCCGTAACTGCACGACACTACTACACCCTTCAATGTTTCATTTGAGCAGTGCAATTATTATTATTTTTTAATGTGATGTGAATGTGAGTACATTACATGTTTCACAGAAGGGTCCCATGAATGACACAGATAGAAGGAATATCAAACAAATATACAATGACTCATTCTCGGAACAAGCTAAAACTATTCGTACTCAGGAACATCAATAGTATTATTTCCCCTCGGCCTAGATCCTCGAGTGTCATTGTATATTTGTATACTATACATTCTTCCCTCGCCTTTAGCTCTAAAAAATTGCTGCCCCGAGATCACATCTCGGTCAATAGTTCACCAGGCTCCAAATAATCAATGCACGTTATATAAATTACCAAGAAATGATAGATAAACTTATCAATAAATCAATTCAATCAATTCAAGGTTTATTAAAAAAACATGTGTCGCAGCCCTATGGCTGAATCGGTCATGTTTACAATTAAAACACTCATTGCATATTTCAAACATAAAATACAGTTACAATTGATTTTTCGACATTGAAGTATATGTAGTTAATATGATAAGATTGCTTGGGCAGCAAACTTTAGAAAACAGAATATAACATGAAGACAGGAAAACGGAGAGGATAAACATTAAGAAAAGAAGTAAAAGATCAAGTTGTAGAAAATGCATGTACATTAAAAAAATATAAATTGCATATATGTCTTTTTAAAGAGTCGTTAAGATAATATACGAATACTACTACATTTTGAGGAAAATATATCAATTTTGATTTAATTCTTACTTTCCCCCTTGACCTTCAGATTCCATGACCCCAATAACACCGACGTCGACATGTATTTCAGGGTCCAGTAGCCCTGAAACGGTGTGGTAACCGACATGATAGTCAACGCCCTCTGCGACTATGACCAAAGGTCCCCTAAACTCCACGAAATTGTCCTCTGACTCCTCTCGGTAGCCGTAGACAACGATGTCAACCTCATCCACGCCTTCAAGGTTATCTGTGTTCCACGTGATCTCGAAGTCCGACTCTCTTTGGTTGCTTTCCGTTACCGAGGAAAAAACATTGTCAGGAACGTCCTCGACACTGACTGTAGGGAAAAAAAGTTCACTGTCTAGATAATATGGGCACCACTTCACGAAATCGTCATAAATACAAGTTCGTCGACATCCCATTGAAACGTCTAAATTACAATCAACTCTCGTTTCAATGGAATATTGACGAACTTGTACACAATTTCGTGAATGATGCCCAGGTACATAATCATGATAACGCGGCAATATATTTAATCTTTCAGACTTGTGCTCAAGTCACTGTCTAGTACCAACCTCCTTTCAAAGCACTGTGATGGGTGTATCTACCGAATCTAGATACATTGTACGGACCGTCCTCAGGACGAGTCAGACTAGTATTTGGAGTTGAAGAACGAAGCTCAATAATGAAGATCAGCCCTTGAAATCTAACCACTTTGTGTTGTGTAATCTGTTGTTGTGGAACAAAGGACCCAGGGACAACGGGTAGAGGAAACCTCACGTAACAAATGGGGGCTCGGCCAGGTATATAAAGTGGAAAGTATGATTTTCAGGTGATTTTTGTGATCATATTAGCGCTGGCATGTTGCATTACATTGCGTGCGACGAGTTACATACACGTTCCTTATGAGCGGACTGTTCGGTGTGTACTGTGTGTGTGTTGTCGATGTCGGTTCGTTAAGATGATATCGTCGGGCACCGCTGGGGTAGCCGTTTCAGGTTCGAGCATTCGTGGTGTGTGTGGTGAGAAAAACATTGTTGTCTTCTCATGTTTCTGCATGGATTTGCAGGGTTTGACTGAGGGTTATAACAGTCAGGTTGTCTAGATTTCTCGGATATTGTAGAATCTAGGTGTTGTAAGGTTGGCTGGGGATTATAACAGCCAGGCTCTAGTTCTTTCTAGGATATTTAGGAGGCTAGGTTTTTTGCATGATGGCTAGCGAGTTCTCTTTGGGGGAGTTTGTTAGGGATCCGTCTGCGGAGCGATTAAGCTCGTTGACTAAAGTTGAATTGTTAGATGTAGCAACTCATTACGAGGTTGTGGGCATCAAGCGGTACATGCTAAAGTCGGACATTTTGAACAAAATTGTCGAATTTCTGGTTTCTGAAGAGGTTTTGTCTTCAGAGGCGGCGGACGGTATCAGTGTGACTCCTCCAGGGTCTAGGTCTCGGCCTCCTGAATTAAATTCTCAGGCTAGGTCTTCAGTTTCGGATGAAGTGAGGATAAAGGAGCTAGAATTAGAGAGGGCGAGAGTAGAGTTGGAGAGGGAGAAACTTGTTGCCGTAAACAGAAAAGAGAGCAGAAATGCTGATAGGCATTTTGACGTAGCAAAGCATGTCAGAATGGTCCCTCCATTCGAAGAGGAAGGGGTGGAAAAGTATTTTCCACACTTTGAGAAATTAGCTCAAAGCATGGGGTGGCCTAGGGAAATGTGGGCTCACCTGATTCAGAGTAAGTTTAGCGGTAAGGCTAGGGATGCCTACTTAGCAATGTCGATGGCCGACGTGTCGGATTACGATAAAGTAAAATCGAGCGTGCTAAAAGCTTACGAACTTGTACCCGAAGCGTACAGGCAGCGATTTCGCAAAGCGCGAAAGGAAGAATCGCAAACTCACATGGAGTTTTCAAAACAAAAAGAGCAATTGTTTGAAAGATGGAGCTCGTCTCTCCATGTTGATCATGATTATGATAAACTGCGTGAAATTCTTCTGCTTGAGGAATTCAAGCGCAGCGTGCGACTGGATGTTCGTATACATCTCGAGGAGCAGCGCGTCGATTCGCTGGATGAAGCAGCAAGAATCGCGGATGATTACGTGCTCACGCACAAAATCTCTAACAAACTGAGCGTAGAACCTAAGAAAAATGGAAACTGGGGCAAAAGCCAAAAAACTAGTTCATCACAAGAAAAGGATGAAATAAAACCGCAGTCCCAGCAAGGACAGGTAACAGAGAAAAGAATGTGCTATGCTTGCAAACAGTATGGGCACATAAAGTCAAAGTGTCCTTCACTTCAGGCTAAGAAACAGGAATCTATTGCACATCCTAATGCATTCGTACAAACTACATCAAACTCACAAAGTGGAATTATTCCAGCGAACATGGAAAAAATTCAGAAAGAGTATGAACCGTTTGTGTCTGTAGGATATGTATCTGTAGCAGAGAGTGATGTAGCAAGAAAAGTGAAAGTCTTGCGGGATACTGGTGCTTCTCAGTCCTTGATTTTGGAAAGTGCGTTGCCCTTTTGTGATAGTTCTTCTGTTGGTGCTAGTGTTTTGCTCAAAGGCATTGGAGACGGCTTTGTGGAAGCACCCCTTCATGTGGTAGACCTGAAGTCAGACCTTGTTTCTGGTATGGTGAAGATGGCAGTTAGACCATCACTTCCTGTGGAAGAGGTATCTATCATATTAGGTAATGATCTCGCTGGTGACAGAGTCGTATCATGTCCAGTAGTAAGTTCTAGTCCTTGTGAAAGTTCTGAGACAGATGAGTTGGTTGCAGAATTTCCTGTAGCGTTCCCAGCATGTGCTGTAACTCGTTCAAAGGCTAAGAAAGTTGAGTCAGAGAAGAAGTCTAATGAAATAGATGTTGACTTAGGAGATTCTTTCTTTTGTCGTTTGGTTGAGGATGAGTCTGATTCCAATGTGAATGAGAGTGCGAGAAAGGTTCATAGCGTAGGAAATAGTGAAAAATCTGAACCACTATCTTTGAAAAAGAGTAAGTTGCTAAAGGAGCAACAGACAGATCCTCAGTTGATTTCTTTGAATGAGAGAGCTGTTTCTGAGGAGGAGGCATTGACTGTGCCTGTTTGTTATTACAAGAAAGCAGGTGTGCTAATGAGAAAGTGGAGGCCAGCAGATGTCCCTGCAGATGAGGTGTGGAAAGAAGTCCACCAAATTGTAGTCCCTTCTACATACAGGCAGGACATAATTAGCCTTGCTCATGAAGCTCCACTTGCAGGTCATTTAGGGGTTCACAAAACCCAGGAGAAAATTCTTTCTCATTTCTTTTGGCCAGGTGTGCAAAAAGATGTTGCAAATTTTTGCAGAAGTTGCCACGCATGTCAAGTTGTAGGTAAACCGAATCAGAAAATACCGGCAGCACCATTGAAGCCAATACCGGCGTTCGATGAGCCATTTTCTAGGATCATAGTAGATTGTGTAGGTCCTCTGCCAAAGACAAAGGCAGGTAATGAATACTTATTGACGATAATGTGCGCTGCGACGAGATATACCGAAGCGATACCACTGCGGCGCATTACAGCGAATAATGTGACAAAGGCGTTAGTGAAATTTTTCACTACTGTAGGGCTACCAAAAACTGTACAATCTGATCAAGGGTCAAATTTCATGTCTAGGGTGTTCAATCAGGTGTTGAAGGAACTGGGCGTAAAACATGTAGTTTCGAGTGCATACCACCCAGAGTCCCAGGGAGCACTGGAGAGATTCCACCAGACTTTGAAGAATATGTTGAAAACTTATTGTATGGAGTCAGAGAAACAATGGGATGAGGGAGTTCCCTTGTTATTGTTTGCTGTGCGGGATGCTGTACAAGAGTCGCTTGGTTTCAGTTCGTTTGAGTTGGTATACGGTCACTCAGTACGTGGACCATTGAAGTTGCTGAAAGAGAGACTGTTGTGTGATGATGCACAAACAAATGTGTTGGAGTATGTGAGTACTTTCCGTGAGAGAATGCATAAGGCGTGGGAGGTTGCCAGACAGAATTTGTCAGATTCTCAGGAGAAGATGAAGTCATGGTATGACAGGAAATCAAAAGAGAGGAATTTCGAGGTAGGACATGAAGTCTTGGTCTTACTGCCGATAGTTGGTCATTCTCTGCAGGCTAGATTTTCTGGGCCGTACACTATTGCTAAGAAAGTTGGTGATGTCGACTACGTTGTCAATACTCACGATAGGCAGAAGAAGAGACGTGTGTGTCATGTGAATATGCTTAAGCCATATATCCGAAGAGATGACGAGAGTAAAGCACAACCAGTGTTGAGTGCTGTTGAATGTGACTCAAAGTGTGAAGTTGAGAAAGAAGTGTGCAAGATTGAGAGAGAGAACCCATGTGTGAAATTAAAAAATTCAGAGGTTCTAGCACACATCGATAACAAACTAACACACTTATCTGTGAAGGAGAGGAGTGATGTGAAAGAGCTGTTGAGTGAATATCCACAGTTATTTGCTGATGTTCCCTCTCGAACTGATGTTGTTGAGCATGATGTTGATGTGGGAGATACAACCCCAATCAAACAGGCACCATATCGTGCAAACCCGACAAAACTGAAAAATCTTGAAAAGGAAATCGAATACATGCTACAGAACGGCATTGTCGAGCCAAGTAGTAGTGCATGGTCTTCTCCTTGCATCCTCGTTCCGAAACCGGATAAATCTAATCGTTTCTGTACGGATTACAGAAAAGTAAACGCTTGCACTAAGACAGATTCTTTTCCGATTCCGCGAATAGATGATTGCATAGACCGTATAGGCAAAGCAAAGTATGTGAGCAAATTTGATCTCTTAAAGGGATACTGGCAAATCCCTTTGACAAAAAGAGCACAAGAGATCTCTGCGTTTTCTACTCCGCAAGGCCTTTTCCAATACACAGTGATGCCTTTTGGCATGAAAAATGCGCCTGCGACATTCCAAAGACTTGTGAATAATCTTGTAGCGAATATGGCAGGTTGCGAAGCATACATAGATGACATAATCGTGTATAGTGAGGAGTGGGATGAGCACGTACAGAGAATCAGAGAGTTGTTTGAAAGGTTGTCCATTGCTAAAATGACAGTCAACTTGGCAAAGAGCGAGTTTGCAGGGGCAACTGTCCTTTTCCTTGGGCATGTTGTTGGTTCGGGTCAAGTACGGCCAATCTCGGCGAAGGTCGATTCCATCCTGGCTTTCCCGATTCCAACCAACCGGAAGGAATTGATGCGATTCCTGGGCATGGCAGGCTATTATAGAAGATTCTGCCATAACTTCTCCGATGTTGTAACTCCCCTAACCAAACTGCTGCGCAAGCAGGTGGCGTTTGTCTGGTCTGACGACTGCGAGAGTGCTTTCAACCAGGCGAAAGCCCTCCTATCTACCAATCCGGTACTGATGGCTCCGGATTTCAACCAGCCGTTCAGCATGATGGTGGACGCGAGTGATGTGGGTGCTGGTGCAGTTCTTACTCAAGCAGACGCTGAAGGTATCGACAGACCCATATCATTCTTCTCAAAGAAATTCAGTGCAAGTCAGAAGAACTATTCTACTGTCGAAAAAGAAACATTGGCTATGATACTTGCACTTGAACATTTTGACGTGTATGTCAGTGGATCTCAACATCCAGTCAGGGTACTAACTGATCATAACCCCCTGACATTCCTCAACAGAATGAAAAACAAGAACCAAAGACTGACGCGATGGAGTTTGCTGCTCCAAGAATACAACTTGGACATTCTACATGTGCCAGGAAAGGACAATGTTATTGCGGACGCTTTATCTCGTGTGTGATATTTGGACAGAAGTGAGCAACTAATTGATATATTCACATGGAAAAGTAAACAACCCTTGTGTGAACCATATTTCTTGGACAGTTGAACACTTACAGTAAAGCATCATTCTTGAACAGTTGAACATTGGTGAATTCATTGGAATTCTATGTGAGAAAGGAAACCAGAACTTTTAACTTTGATGGTTTCTTTAATAATCACAAAGCATTGTGAACATAGACTGATTGGACTCATTGAAACTGTTTATTGGACTCACAGAAAAATGTATTTTTCTTATGTTTGCTTTCCAGATGTCTGTAAACCAGTGTATATATGTATGTGATATGCTTATCGTATTTGTTGACGAATTTGAACATGCATGATAATATTATTGTGTTAAAACCCTTTTGGTACAAACACAAGGAACTAGAAAGCCTAGTGAGTCATCATTTTGTCTGTGCATGTTTATATATGAAAATAGAAACAGTAAATTGATTTATATGTTTTATCCAAGGCAGGATAAATATATTAAAAGAAGGAACTTTGGAACAAAAAGTATTTTGGTGTCTTACCATATTTTTGGTTATGGATATAAAGTAATCAAAGTTATTCTTGAAAATATTCAATACTCAACCAACACAGATGATATGGTTTTACACTACAATGCAAAACTTCAGATTAATAGTAACATGTTTTTACAACTGACGTGAAGGCTATATTATATTATCTTTCAGACAGGTTTAATGTTGCTGGAGTTTGTTTAGTATTATTTTTATGCAAAGAAATATGTTTAGATTCAAACTTGCGAAGAAGCATGAAGACATATTAATATTGATAGGTCATTTAAGGTGAACTTCTCTGCGATTTGAATTGTATTTTGTTTTATGTTAAGTACAAATGACTTCTGATATATGCAAAAGTCAGCGATGAAGATGATAGAGCAGGATGATAAAAGAATGGTTAATGTTTTTATTTATAGCTGTTCATACTCAATTTTATTGTATGAACAGAAACCACTAGACAACGCTGTGATACCATTTGCATGCTGGTACTGTATAGTTTTACAAGCTGACTTGTTTATCAGATTTCTAAATCTACAAAGACCTCATACTTATAAATACTTTCAGGTTTTTGTATTCTTACAGCAGTTGCTGAAACAACATTGAAAAAGAAATGTTTTTATAGCACTTCTCCTACTGGTATAAGTGCTAATTTATGAGGGGGAGTGTGATGGGTGTATCTACCGAATCTAGATACATTGTACGGACCGTCCTCAGGACGAGTCAGACTAGTATTCGGAGTTGAAGAACGAAGCTCAATAATGAAGATCAGCCCTTGAAATCTAACCACTTTGTGTTGTGTAATCTGTTGTTGTGGAACAAAGGACCCAGGGACAACGGGTAGAGGAAACCTCACGTAACAGCACTGTACAGACCTCAACTTATAAGTTTATGTTTTAGCCCTTCAGTATAATGTCTACGTGCTTTAATAGAATCTAGTAATTTCGATATGCTCTGTCTAGTGTGCTTGTATACGTACATGAATATTAATGCATTTGTCAAGAAAGATGATGCAGACAAATGAAGAAGCAAGTAAAATTGATAACCATTAACGGGTGTTTATTGGTTGGAATTTAAGATTTAGAACATTAACGTACCATTTATTTCTTCATGAACTATAATTTTTAAGAACTTTTGTCAACATTTTTGAAATGCATTGCTTTCGATTCGATTTCGCTTTCGATTTTGATGTGATGACAGCATAGGTGGACATGGTTTAAAGCTTCTTTTTTTTTTTTTTTTTTACCAAAGACGATGTTCATATTAACTTACTAATTGTGAACAATCCTGTGAAATCGAACGTGACTCCATCGTCTAGAGACACGCGCAAGGGAATCTGTCCAACCTTGTAGAATTTCGGCGAAATGCAGAGGGCGATCTCGTCTTCCAGAAGTCTTCCAGAAGTTTCGATTCCGTCGAACTCACAGACAATCAGGCTGTTAGCGTTGAAGCACGGTCCGCTGATGAGAACCTGAGTTCCGCCAAGCATTGAACCAACCAATGGGAACAAGGAAATGTCACCTGTCAGGGGGAAAACAAGCATATGGTTAACGAAATGGTACGAACGAGGGCGTGGCATACTCATATTACGCTCCTCGGTGAACTTACGTTCACGCGGATATACATATTATATATATGTATATTTATAGAGAGAGAGAGAAAGAGAAGGACACGCACGCGCGCTCACCCACTGCCGCACTAAACACACTCACTTGCCTACGCACCTCCAAACAATACCTTGTCATTTGACCAGGTTTTGAATTATAAATCAAGAGATGACTACAAACATAATCATTTTAGATATCTTCTAATTGACCGAATCAGAGTAGTTCATTTTCACCAACTCTATAATACGTTATAACATCCTGATAATTATTTTTTTAAGGAAACAAACGTAGAAGTATATCAAAATGAATATATCAAAGGGAATGTGGCATGCTGATATAACAAAGAAGCAAAGGAACCAAATCTAACTTTATTAATGTTTAGTGAAAAGCTGTCCGATAGCAAGAACACAAAATAATTACATGGAATGGTTGGATCTGGGATAAACTGAGGTGGAAGTGATAACGAGGAATGGATTGAGATGGATAGAGGAAAAGAGGAAAGAGAACGATGAACGTGTGAAAAGAGCGTGGGATCTGGAAGAGGATGGCACAAGGGGCAAAGGAAGACGGACAATTTCTTGGAAAGTAAGGTTAGTTAAAATGGGGAAGGTGTTCCAGACAAGAAGAAGAGGAGAGAAGGAGTGTCATCATGACCTGAAAGTTAGTAACCCCTTGAAAAGTAAAAGGAAGGTTATGATAATGATGATGATGATGATTACGTCAGCAATTGGAGGAATGGTTTTGGTTATTTACACACCGGAGGTTGTACATTCTAGTCCTTCGATGTTGGAGTTGTCTGTTCTGAACACCCATCTTCCAGGTACACCGATGTTCGATGTCGTTTCGATATCGACGACGGCCGCTGTCCGAGATCCAGGGACACTGTAAAAGGTCACTCCGTCACCAGCGTTGAATCCAACCTATGAGTCAATTTGAAGCAATACTTCCGAACAAATGTAACTTGATACGGGTTCGATTCATGTTTTATTTCGTTTCATTTCATGTCATATTGCCCCCCCCCCCAACCAAAATAAAGAAAAGAAAAAAGAAAGAGTGAAAATCTTCATTCATTTGACCTATATCTATTTGATGATAAACTGAATTGACATACTTCTGACTCTAAGCAACAGCAAAGGTTTTTTCTTTCTTTTTAGTTGGAAATACACCAAACAGATCCAGCATTTTTTTAAATAGTACTGATCGAGATCTACACTAGCTTTGATTTTCCTCCTTCTCTTTTATGTTTAAGGTAACGATTATAACATATATGTCTATTTCCTTTTATCGATACTGTACATGCAGCATAGCATTTGAACGGGTATTATGTTCCAGCAGTGCATCATTATACTTGTACCCGAGCATCACCCCCTTTAATCTATGTGACGGCACAGTTCACTTCAACCTCTTGCCTTCCTGACTAAACTAAAGCCAAAGTTGTGAAAAGGATCAAAATTAAGATCCTAGTACCAGAGTCACATCCGACGTGACCGACATCAAACTGATCAAAAATTACAATACACCAAATGCTGAGAATTACTCGGTCTGGACTCAACTTGGAGTCGGTTTGGCGGTGTGACTGATGTATTATTTCATATGAATGGGAGGGGCTACTGTACTACATGAGCTCGCTGCCATATACACAATAATGTCCCTAGTTTATAAGAAGGAGGCAGGCGCGTACGCTGGGAGGGGGGGGGGGGGGGTTGGGGTTAAACCCCCTTGTATGTTTTGTATATGTATGTTTTGTGTATGTTTTTAGGGCAACCATCCCCCACCCCCCTTTAAGTTTTTTTTGTTGTTCTAATTAATACAAAAAAATAATAATACAAAAAAAAATATACCAATGGCTGACATAAAAAAGGTGACCTTACCCCCCCCCCCCAACGGAACACAATGTCAATTTTTCAAATTTCGAGTTCAAAAAAATGTTTCATCTTTGCCCCCCCCCCCCCCTTATTAAGTGACTGGCTGAGTTGTGGCGATTTTTTGGGGACCCCGAAAAAAAAGTGTTCTCTTACCCCACCCCCCCCCCCCCCTGCTTATTCAGCGGCTGGCTGAAATTTTGGGCCCGATTTTAAAACCTCCCCTTGAAATAATCCTGCGTACGCCACTGGAAGGAGGTATAAACCAAATGATTTACCTGAGCTCCGGTTCCTGTTGTCCAGTTGATATCACCGTAATTAAAGATGGCGAAGGAGTATCGGCCATTTGTCACCATAACAGCTTGAAAGGAATTCCTCTGAAGTAAAATATCAAAATTATCAAAATCTATATCTTGATATGAATGATATTTTATGAAACAAATCGGATAACACGGCAGGATGGTGAAATGACTATCAATCTTTAGTAATTTTAGTGAAAGATAAAGACGTGTTTTACACATTGTCACATGTAAGATCAGCTCGATTTCCGGAGGTTTGTACTTGGGTCTAAAATCTGCTGTAATTCTTTTATCGTGTTTGCAAATTGGCCGACAGGACTTTCAACAGGGCGAATGTCATAACAAATGCCGATTACTTTTTTTTCCCGAAATTTATAATACAGTGGCGACAGATGATCAATATGGATAGGGTCAGCGGCGAACAATCGATCAAGCCAGTGTACTTACGATGGAGGTATCAGAAGCACCGTAGAAAGATACACTGTCCCAGGTCGCGATGTACATCCATGATGACACAAAATCTCTCATGTCAACAAATGATGCTCTTATAATTCCATCGGCTGCGAGGAATATGCCGTCGTTTTGGGCGTATCGTAAGACCTGTCGATAGGATAGAGTCCCACCATTTCGCGTGTCGATATCAGCCCAGAATGGAGTCAAAAGTCGTCGGCCATCATCGAGTGGAAACGGATCGGGGGTAAATTGCGAAACACTCACCAAGAACGAGATGACACCGTTATTGTTGACCTGCATTAACATTTATATGAAAGTGATTGGTAGTAAAGTTTAGTGACAAGGCTGGAATATCATAGAAAGAATGAGAAGGAAAGCACGGAAATGAAAACAAAGAAATAGGGAGACAGATAGAGAAGGCAGTAGTAAGTATTAATTTGGACAAATCATGTGGAAAGTTGAAAAAGACGAACGGTGACGTTATAATCGAAAAGAAAACAGATAAATAAGTTCATATGGTTATACACACACGCACCCGCACGCGAACATACGTAAAGAGAGAGAAAGAGAGAGAGAGATGGGGACGATAGAGAGAACGAGATATATATATATATATATATAAAGAGAGAGAGAGAGAGAGAGAGAGAGAGAGAGAGAGAGAGAGATAGGGGGCGAAAGTAGGAGTTGTTGATGATGCCTTAGTCATTTGACTGCCCTAGGCAGTTACAAGTTACAAACGCAGCAAGTCTCCGATGTAAAATACGCTAGGATTATTAAAAACTTGTATTTCTTTTTGAAAATTTAAAATAAGTTTAAAGTGACTTGGTAACATTGTTTAAGGTTGATTACAAAATTGTGTAATTGTATGAAATGTTATTTATTATCTTCCTTCTACTGTACTAACCCTCTAACATGCAAAATATCCTGAACATTTTTTGCAAACCACAAAGATATTAATGGTTTTCTAGGAAGGCATCACTTTGCAACACTCTCTAACAGTAAATTCTCCCAACCATTTCTGAATTCTCCCAACCGTTTTTCAATGAAAATAAGACAAAAGACAGGCTTTTAACAATCGTTCAACACTAAAATGTCTGGAATGGTATATAGAGCCCATGCATTGCTTTGTGATGATTTACATTCACCTAAAATGTTATTAAATTGTATTAATAGTTGGTCAAATTAAGATCCAATCATTTTTTCCCAATTTCTATCGTTAATAATGGTCTGTTTTCATTCAAACGTTCAGATCATCTCTAATTCTAAGATTTTAATTCTTAAAGTCACTACCTTAGCACCATTTTCTCTCATTACAATGTTACCATCCCCTTTAAGAATTGTTATTCTTCGATATCTTTATCATGTTCAGGGGTCATCGATTATGTTCAGATGATTATGTACAAAAATGTGACGTAAAATCTTATTTATGACATGTGTTCCGAAATATGTTATCATGAAACGGGTTCGACAGATTTCTTTTAAACAAAATATTGTTGGTTCAAGCTACGAGGGACTTACAAAAAGACTGGTATGGTCGTGATCGAAGAACGGAAAGGCGACGGAAATTGGTAGCTCGTTTGTGGAACCATCATCGTTGGCTGGTAGAAATTCGTCCCCTTCATTTAATCCAAATGGAAATAACAGACCTGAATAATGTGGGGGAAAATATAATAATAATAGTAATAATAATAATAATAATAATAAGAAGAAGAATAACAATTACAATTTATGTCATAGTAAACATACAGTATCAAAAGCTGAGTGCAGTGTCTGTATGATTGATCTTAAGTTCTCCAATCAGGGCAGACTTATTTAAAATACTTCAATTTTTGGAAAAGAAATATAATAATTGGGTTCCCTCGCTTAATTTCTCTATCGTATTTCTCCCAAGCTTTCGTTAATTGTGTTCATTATATAAAGAAGAAATGAATATAAAAAACATATATCAATTTTCAAAAATGCGAAACTCTACATGGGCCTACCGCTCCATTGCTGCGCTCCCTTGCACATTTACTAAGCCGATCTTCTTGCGTCCTCGCCTGTACATTTACATAGATGAGTTTTGTAAGGGGAGAGGGACAGGGGAGGGTTGTAGTTTTCATGATAGCTCTGGCCGCCATATTCAATAGAATTACGCCAATGTTTAGTTAAGAGTTGATTTCAAGATGAAGTTGGCACAATTAATACTAGCCTCCTTAGACGGGGCCCAGGGTTTCAAAGAGAAAACACGGTACTCAACTGAGAGATACTGGACGGTCGGGGGTACAGAATTTGTACCTTCACCCCTTCTTATCTTCTTGAAAAAGAAAGAAATTTGTGAAATTTGTTGATAACATCCTCCTCTACTGCTATTATGTCACTTCCATCTCGTAGGCAGATTGTATTGTATTGATTTTATTCACCAATATAAAAACATATAAATAACAATATAAATGATAACATGAGAAAATAACATTGAATGGATCGCCCTGCTCAGCTGTGCCAGTACAGCACAGTTATTCTACCGAGGGGTCCAGTTTACAATACAAAATAAATGAGAGAAAATGATATATCACAAATTAATTTCTTAACATATTGGTATAACATAACAACAACATCGTTTACACAGTATCATGCCCCCACCCACCAAGGAGCAATACACTGAACCCCACCCACCCTTTTATTTATATATATTATAATCTTCTATTTCAAAGGGAGATACTTTTCAAAGTATGTTTATTTAATAATCATATGAATTCATTGTAATGCCCCATGATATGAAAACATTCTACGACATGATTCAGTATGTGGTTTAGGTAAAGATAAATTTCCGATAGAACGTAACGAATATGGGTGATAAACAAAGTGTAATGAGTCCTTTAAGTCAGGGGCACTGAGGTCATGAAGGATTTAAAAAAAAACATGGAGTTTTTATGTTTTAAACGACGACAGGCCAATGATTCCCAATTTAACATCTGGTGAATATTACAATTTGATATATGCTTAAAAGGACTGCCTGCTCTATTTTTTAACTTTTTGCAATTGAGTGCTATATCTTTTATTACTTGAGTCGTACACTACATCAGCATAATCAAACATAAGAAGAATAATGTATTGATAGATCAATTTTAAGCTAGGCTCATTAATAAAATGACGAAGCCGGCCCAAATTTGTTAAAAGCTTACTAACTTTTGCAGATGTATGTTCAATATGTTTATCCCATTTTAATTGCTGATCTATAATAAGTCCCAGATATTTTACACTTTCTGAGGTTGGATGCACTTACCCTGTATTGAGTTGCGTGCATTACGCTTGATTAACATTATACCAGACCCAATCAACAAACTTTTTGCTTTGTCAACGTTTAGACTTAGCTTATTAGAACACATCCATTTGTAAATATGCTTTAACTTAGTGTTCAGTGTACTTTCTATAATTGTTACATTTTATGGGAAAAATAAAGAACTGTGTCATCAGCGTACAAATGGATAGTACATTGATCAGTATTATTGATAATATCATTAATGTAAACAATAAATGGCATTGGCCCTACAATTGAGCCATGTGGCACACCGTACTGGATGTCTGAAAGATCAGACACAGCAAGATTCATACGTGTATATATTTTGCGGTCGCTCAAATAACTTTTAAACCAGACAAGACTATCATCTGACACACCAAAAGATTTGAGTTTTTTAAACAAAATACATGGGTCAACAATATCGAACAGTGTTGTCAGTAGCGCGAAGCTATTCATCGGTGACTCTAACAAGAGAAGTAGCGGTTGAATGCTTTTCTCTGAGGCCAGACTGCTCAAATGAAAGTAAATTGTTTATTTTTAAACGATTGGTTAATTTAATTTGAGCTAGTTTTTCAATGATTTTAGAAGCGGATGAACGAATTGCAATCGGTGACATTGGTCTATAATTAGAGGGATGTGTCTTGTCACCAGATTTAAAAATCGGTACAACTTTAGCCTGCTTCCAATGTAAGGGCATACCACGTGACAATGAAGTATTGTCAAAGTATATATAATTTGAGTCAAAGAAGGAATTATCACTGATAGTTTTAAAATGTAGATAGGGATGCCATCAGTTCCTAATACCTTTAGAACTTCATTTTCAGAATCCTGTCTGAGAGAAAAGGATTTAACATTTCCATGAAAAGAAATAGGAGGAACATGAGAAATATTAGCTGCTACGTCTTCACCAACGTTTGCAAAATACTTGTTAAATTGTTCAGCTTTTAATACGTCTTGAGAGATTTCTGAATTTTCAGCTTGCTTACATTTGCTTTTTAGTCCAGTAGACGGTACCATATACCATGTACATGACTTGGAAAAACCCTTGAAAATATCTATTATCCATGTTTTCAGGCTTCCTGGATTAAGATTATCTACATTATTACATATTGCACATATATATTTTATTATATTATTATGCTAATTAGGGTAATTATATTTCATTTAGTACATAGAATATCTTCTCATGAATTAATGATTAGTCTTTCAAAAGTGATTTACAATGTTGCATTGCACCATTTTTAGGCTTTATAGATAAAATTTGTCAATAAGTCCATATATTTTACACATGCTTATTAGCTCATTATGCTAATTATGCTATTTACGACAATTGCATTACTTGGAGTCAAAAACTGGTGTTATAAATGAATTCCTTCACCATAGAAAACTCTTGAAAAGTCGTATTATCCATGTTTTTGGGCTTTCTGGATTGAGATAAGCCACATTATTACATATTGCACATATGCTAAGTAGATGATTATGCTAATATGGCTATTAAAAAAGTTGCCCAAGGTTGCCAAGCTGGCAACCATGCTGAATTTACTTCAATACCTATCTAGAACACGAATCAACAAAAAAAACCTTGTACTTAACAACTTTTCCAGGTCTGAAAAACTTCTACAGGACTATTTAGGCATAACAGATTAAAGAAAATTCCAAATATCAGAGGATGATTTTGCAGAAGATAACTTCGTTTACGTTTCCTCACTTTAGACGTGAATACATTTCGAAGTTTATTGTAACTACCCATGATTGTTTGTATAATTCTTCTTTTGATTTCCTTAAAACTGCATTATTTTCTTCAAGCAATTCTAATTTCAACTTATATATATTTTTTTTCAATTTATCTCTTTCTTTAATCAAATAAGTATTTTGAGAACACATCCACGGGGAAGATCTACTCTTTACGCGTTTAAGGCAAATTGGCAAGTGCTTATTAGTAATATCTAAGATCAATTCCTCCCAGATGGTAACTTTATCATCTATATCATTGACATCGAATACTCTGTGCCAAAGCTGGGACTTT